CATTTTTGTAAATAATAAAGATAAAAACCCTGTACATTCTAAGTCAGGCGTTCACAAGATCAAATGCTCTGATTGCAATGCAGAATACGTTGGTCAGACAGGGAGAGCTTTTTCCACCAGGATAGCAGAACATAAAAAGACAATTGACAAATATAGTAACTCTGATATTATCAACACTACATCTTCTTTCGCAAACCATGTTCTCGAGAATAAACACAAACATAATATACTAGAAGATTTTGAAGTCCTACATGTTCATCCTAAAGGCAAAAAGCTTGACCTTCTGGAAATTTTAGAAATCAATAGATCTGCTCATTCAAATTCAACTGTCTGCCTTAATGAACAAGTTAGATTTGATTGCCTATCCACTTTCAATTCCATTTTGTAATCTTCCTCTCCATTCATCGGCTGCATTGGCAATCCTTTTGTTTAATGTTCTGTTCTGTTAATCTAGACAAATTTTCTTGTTTGTTATGAACTTTGATGTATGGTCCATTGAGTCAAGTTCAATGTTTGATGTATTTGATAGATGACATTTGTCACTTCTTTGTCAAATAATAATTTGTATCTACCATCTTAACTTTCGAATCAAGTAGTCTGACGGTTTGTTCACTTCATACTCGCGCCATTTGCTTCACACTATAATAGTTTTTTGATACAAAATGGAAGCATCTTAAGAAAAATGTTTATCTGGGGGTTAAAAAAACCAAAAAATTAAAAAATGTGTTTAAAATAATTTGGGGCCTAAAACCCTTACGAACCATGTTATCAATTTTATGTTTGTGGAACATCGTGCGTACCAAGGGAGGATAGGGGGAGGCCTTTTTTATCAAGCTTAGCATATTTTCACTTTAGAATTATGTTTTTTGACGTTTGTAGAATAGTTATTTTTGTATTTAGAGCGCGAAATGCTACTTTGGTGATCGAGATCCAAAGTATTTCGCGCTCGAGATGCAAACAAAATTTTTTATACAAACGTCAAAAAATATAGTTCCAAAGTAAAAATATGTTCAACTTGATATGAAAATTAGTGTTGTACTGGCTTAGAAGGCCTCCCCCTATCCCCCCTAGGCACGATGTTCCACTAACATAATAGGAATTTCCTTTCGTGGGCTCCAAGAGATTAAACAAAGTTATTGTTGAGCATCCAGGAATAAATGATTTCGTGGATGTTTGCTCAATTGAGGACCATAAAGTTGAAATATAAATAGGTATATCTCATATATTTTACTTAACAATGCGCGAAGTAGATACTTCGCGCACTGTTTTACTTCGCGCATTGTTTTGTGCAAGGTATCATGGTAACGTAGGAAACTGAAAAAAAGGGTCACTTCGCAATTCGTTATCTGCAAGTTGATAACCGTGTTATTTTTTGACGTTTGTAGAAAAAAAAAGTTTGTTTGCAACTCGAGCGCGAAATACTTTGGTCATCTCGACTATTTTTTTTAACGAGGCGTAGCTGAGCTCGATTACCAAAGTAGCATTTTGCGCTCTACATACAAAAATAGTAATTTATTATACAATAGAAAAAAGTAGTAGATTTTAGCTCCAGGTTGTGTTGAGCTAAAATCTAATATATTTCCCGTGTATAATACGCAATTTTTTTCTGTGACAGAAAAAAGGACGAATCAATATTGAGAAGATATTACATTATTTTGATATCTGAAAATTATCGACGTGAAATTTTAAGTTTTTTTAACAGTAGGGACACCTGCGTTGTAGGCATCTTTATCATTCATTTGAAGTAATCAAATATCTGATGTCACTCCTGACAGTCCAATTCTGTGATTTGATTTCAAAAAATTGCGAATTTAGTGGTTGTTTAGTAATATACGTAACCGCGAAGTCGAATGGAAGATAAAAGGACTTGCAGTTCTTTCTCGGGGACGATATTATTGACTAATTTTTCGGAACTATAGCACAACAAAAGCCGTCAACAGTGTATACATATGTATACACTGTTGACGGGGAAGTACTAACTTTTTTCCCACGGGAAAAAAGTAATTTATGAAAAGTGACATTTTATAACCTGCCAACAGAGTTGAAATGCCAAACTCTTTTCCGTTCACAGAAAAATACTAATTTTTTTCTTCGGTTGAAAAATTGGAAGTGATTAAAAAAATGTATTCGACACGATATTGAATAAATGATCTTTGGATAAAGTCACACGGTTTCACAAATATTCGTCATCTTGTTTTTTGTCGAAAGAAATGGCAGTGAAGTATACAAAAACTAAAGCCCTTACACGTGTGTGATATTATTGGTAGATAACAAAGAAAACTTATCTCATCGCGTACTTTCATTTTTTTTTTCAATTACATCAACCTTCAAAACACTATACAGGGTGTTACAAATTCGTGGCTAAGCATGGAGATTCCGGTAATCTTGAGAGATACAGAGTAGTTTGAATTATGGTGAAGTTGCACCATTTCATGCCCAACAAAATATACAAAATCATTTTTATTCATCACTCAGATCATTTGAAGAGATATTCCAAAATGAATGTCACTTCATCATTGCCACTTTTCCTCCTCTACAAAATGGAATTGTCAAATTAGACATCCGACGTTCCTCCTTCTAGCGAGGGGAAATAGCTTAAACGCAAACGGAAATATTTTTGAGCATCTACTATGAAAGAAAACTCAATGTTCGGAATGTTTTTCATATTGGATATTATTTGTTAGATTAAATTGTGTTTTGATTATTCATAATTCTAATTTCATTAAATAATACACTGAAAATATACAGGGTGTCCGCTAAAAGGAGGTCAATCCATTAACCACATATTCCTTGAACAAAAACAATATGAGTTTCTGAATACCATTTTTCATTTTAGCCCTTCATATTCGATATACTGGGTGTCAAAGTTGGAAATTAAAAACTGTTTTTTTTCTAATTACTCGCGTATTTGATAAGATATTAATCTCAAAATTGGTACATTACTTCAGCACAAAGAGTTACATCGTGTGAGGAAAACATAACAGAAAATAAATGTCAAATATTCAAAATACTGGGGGTCAAGTACACACTTACCCCATATTTTTTTTGTACGTGCGCTAATGACTTCCTATCAATTCTCCTTCAAGTGTTCAATCATTTTTGAGTACATTTTGTTTCTTGTAAAATTTCGATCAAATCATTCGTTTTTGAAGAGAATTCGAAAAGTACTGGTTATTGTTTGATGCCTATGCGGCTTACGGTAATCTCACAATGTTCACATACTCATTTATTTCGTCGAAATTGGAAGAGGGCGTATCTTTTTACGTACGAAAAGGTAAATATGGAAATACCGGGTGCTCAGAGCAAATGTACTAAAATAATTTTTACAAAAAAAAAATAAAATAGTGTAAAAATTATTTGAAGACATTCGCTCTGAGCACCCGGTATTTCCATATTTACCATTCCGTGCGTAATAAGATACGCCCTCTTCCAATTTCGACGAAATAAATAGGAGTATCTGAACATTATGAGATTACCGTAAGCCGCGAGGCATCAAACAATAACCAGTACTTTTCGAATTATCTGAAAAACAAATAATTTTATCGGAATTTTACAAAAATAAAAAAATTCTCAAATATGACTGAACACTTGAAGAAAAATAGATAAGAAGTCATTAGCGCACGTACAAGAAAAATATGGCGGTAAGTGTATACTTGACCCCCAGTATTTTGAATATTTGACAGTTATTTTCTGTTTTGTTTTCCTGTAACTCTTTGTGCTGAAGTAATGTACCAATTTTCAGATTAATATCTTATTAATTACGCGAGTAATTAGAAAGAAACAGTTTTTAATTTCTTACTTTGACACCCTGTATATTGAATAAGAAGGGCTAAAATGAAAAATGGTATCTTGAAACTCATTTTATTTTTGTTCAAGGAATATATGGTTAATGGATTGACCTCCTTTTAGCGGAAACCCTGTATAGATATACTGAAAATACACCTATGACCAAGTGGAGTCATCTCCAGTGATATACACTGCTCGCCAACAGCCACGGCATTACATTTCCGGAAAATGATATAAGGAGCCAAAATAGGTTGAAAATCACTTTGGATTCGAAATCAGGACGTCCAATTCACTAACTATACATATTTTACTTGTATGTGACGTAATGTGATGTAAAAAACGGGGGTGTTTCCATAGAAAGTTAGTGAATTGGAGGTCCTGATTTTGAATCCGAAGCGAATTTCAACCTATCTTGCCTCCTCGTATCATTTTTGCGGATGGTTCCATGGCTGTTGGCGAGCAGTGTATGTCACTGGAGATGACTCCACTTAGTCAGAGTGTGTATTCTCAGTATATCTACCGCTCCTGCAAATTTCAGAATCCCAACTCAACAATTACGAAAGATACAGGGTAGCTTTCATTAGAAGTGAGACACACCGTATTATGTTCATCTTGAGTCAATTCTGATCTTCATATTTCTTCATCTGAAGTTTATGATCCAAAATGAGCCTGAGATTTTCAATTCAGTTAACGAGCAAAAGAGTTATGACTGCAAAACCAAAAAGTTCATTTTTTGAGATCACTCTGTAAATAAGAGAGATAAGAAGACAATTCAAGAAATATCCCAAGGTAATGAGATCATCTCCATGCCTCTGCTGTCTTAGTTGAACAAAAAAAGTTTTGTAAAATTTTGCACAGTTTCAGGTGATACCCTGTAGAGATTTTATATGAAGAACCACCATGTTTCAAAGAAATACGAAATTATAGCTGAAGGAGTGGGCTAGCGAACAGTGTGATCCGAATTCAAATTGTTTAAAGCAGAAAAAAGTTATTCATATTTTAACAGGGACTTCAATAAATTTCAAGTTATTCAAATTAGGAACTAGAAATATGTTGAAAAGTGATGGAATAAAAGTTTTAGCTTTTTCGTAACCACAATCTTTATTTTATTAGCTCCCAGGAAATGTCGAGTAGATGAAAATATATTGAAAAGTGATAATACTAGAAGTAAAATAAAAAGGTCCGTTGTTTCGTGACCGTAATTTTCTTTTCAGCTGCAATTACAAAAAACAAACGCCCTGCTGGAACAAACCAAAGCCGCCCTAGACGCCAAAACAACCACTTCTCCGGCACTAAACCTGGAACTGGAAAACACTCTGGAACAGCTCAAAGACTCCAGAGAGATAAACACCGCTCTACAACTGCAGCTGGACACCGTAAACAGAAGCCAACAGGTCAGGTTATAAAAAAGTAAAAGAAAGTTCGACTTTTTGAATTAATTACGACCATTTTGAGTAAATTCACAATGGGGAAGTGTCCTATATTGAGGTTTTCATCTCACTGTGAAGTTTGTGAAAGATTAATATATACTTTTTTTTTTCGTTAAATCGTATTTCATTTGAAAAAAAAGGACGAACTTGGCTCCTTCACCATTTCTATGACGTATTTCTGAAAATCCACATCCACACAGAGTTAAAATACGATTCCCTGTGCCAGTACGATGTTGCCGACATCATCCATATTTCTAGATATCCGGAAATTGTTCTTTGAATGCATAATAACTATATCATAACAGCAATGGGATATAATAGGTTCTTGAATCCTACTTTGTGGAGTATTATGAAAGATTCCCATAAATCTCTCATTGGCTAAATGAAATTGATTACTAATAAAGATAAATTATGATATTTTGCGAAAGGATCTATAATTTTTCGCTATCGTTATATTACAATATGTTATTTATAACTTGTCAGTCATTTTTTTGCTAATGAATTCGTTCTTTAATGAAACGGATCTATTTTCTACGAAAGTTACAGATTATATCTTGCAACAGCACCTAATACTTTGATTCCGTCCACACCACGTACTCCTCGCCAAGCTTCTATCTTATGGCATGCCTCCCCAGCTATGTTCTCTGCTAGCTAGTTTTCTCTCAAACAGATCTCTCCATGTAGTGGTCGACGGGGTTTCATCTGACTTTCTTATCATAAATGCTGGTGGTGATCAATTCTAGCACCAACACTATTTTTGATCCATATCAACGATTTGTTGGAAGCAACTTCATGTCCAGTATACAGCTTTGGAGATGATAGTACCCTCCATACCACCTTCTCTTCCAGGGCTCCAATACCAGCCAGGCAAATCAGAAACGAACGTGGGAGAAATGTTGATAATATAAATTTGGAATTGGCAACAATTCTCGAAATGGAATCCAATAACTTGGTAGATTTCAATGCAAACAAAACACAAGCATCTTTTCTCTATAAAATAGAGCCAGATCGCCAACTTTTCTACGGTGTTCCAGAGTAGTGAGTGAGTTTGTGAGCGAGGCATCACTCACAAGACGAATTGCCCTTTTTTTGGACAGAATCCAACAGTTTCAGGGTATGTTTGGGTGCTGCAATATGGCAACAGTATTCCTGGACAGGTCGGATCAGTGGCTTATAAATCATAAGCAGCTGACTGGAAGTGAAATAACGCCTGACCCGAAACAGAAAACCAAGTTTTTGTGATGCACTTTTAGCAATTGATCTCACGTGATTTTCCCAAGAAAGGTTATTGCTGATAGTAATACCAAGCATTGAAATGGATGTCTTCAAAGGTATGGTTACTCCTGACAAGCTTATGTTGGGCACAGTGAGATCGGCTTTTCTAGACAAAAAGCATGTTCGTGTTATGTTTGCATTGAAATCTACCAAGTCCATATTTACATTGACAACATTTCTTCCACGTTCGTTTCTGATTTGCCTGGCTGGTATTGAAACCCTGGAAGAGAAGGTGGTATGGAGGCTTATATGCAGATGATTCTTCGTTATTGTTCACAGGCACAACTGAGACTCAAATTCAAAACAAAATCGATAATAGTATTCAGTCACTTTGTAGATGGTCATATGATAACTCCCTGTATTTGAATGCTTCAGAAACAAATTACTTAACTCATCATAGCAGACAGAATAAACATGTTCCTGTTGTATATATAGATGATCGAACTATAGAGAGGGTTGAATCGTTACCACCGATGTGGTAACGGTTGAATGCCCTACTTTCTTAGGGGTCAGACTTGATCATCATCTATCATTCAAATTACATTGTGAATCCTTAGCAAATACATTGAGTACTGAATGCTTCAAATTGAGAGCTCTCAAATCAATTTTAGATATGCGAGGGCTCCTACTCTTTCACCACGGAGAAATTCAATCCCGAATGGAATCACTATTCGGGGTAACTCATCTGCCGCTCATGAAGTCTTCATAGTGCAGCAAAGAATTGTACGATGCCTTGCCAGTGTTTCAAATGGTACCTCATGTTGGGAATTATTCAAAGAATACAAGCTACTTCCCCTATTTGGGTTGTATATTCCTGAACTTTCAACTGGTATACATAAAAAACGAGAAAGTTTAATGAATCATAATTCAATACACAGTTATGAAACGCGAACAAAGGATAATTTCTAAATGCCCAACGTACGTTTGACGATATCTCAGAAATCCCGGACATATTGGGACTCAGGCTATAGAATTCTCTTCCCGAAGAATTAAAATTGATTAATGAACTTCATACTTTTAAAAATAAAATGAAAATGCTTCTTACCGACCTCTGCCCCTATCGTTCGAACGAATTCTTTTAGTACCTGTTTGTTCACTTAGACTGTATGTTTCATTTAGGGTCCCTTGATGTAAATTGACGTATTTGTCATCTCAACAGGGTACGGACAGATCCTCGTCTCCTCTCACTCTAAAGTGTCTGTGAAACAGTTATATAGTTCCATCTTCATTCATTTCTAGGGATAAACACTAGATTTCTAACATTTGTTGTTTTTTAGGTTATATTGGGGACATTGGCGTATCATACGTAATTTCCACATGTAATTTCTCATTCAACTCTACATATTATATCCAAATGATGATGATTATTTTCCAGTTCTTGATATTTCATCTCCAGCATATAATCTTTGTGAGGCAGTGAGCAAATTTTTCTGAAAGTTCAATACGTTTTAACAAATGGGACTGTTCTTAGGCAGTACCTATCAATAAATGAATTTTTATTTCAGACTACGCCTTATGGTTGAGAAATGGTGAAAAATTTTATGTAGGTATTCGAACTAATGTGCTCATATGTCATGTGTGATGTATATATATTCATTTTGGGAATCATTTTTGCAGTTTTTCACGAACCCATAATATTTCCTGAACGTAGGTATAATTTTTTAAATGGTAGGGCATTTGCCTTTTCTTTCAATCCTCCGTTTTGATCACAACTGTTTCTGCTAAAATGCATTCAAAAGTGGAGTGGATAATTATAGGCACAATTAGAAAGTATAATATGTCATTTCGTATTAGTTTTACCTCGAATATTTTGTTGATGTATTTACCAATTTTCCCTATTCGCTCACTTCACTTTCCATTTTCAAATTCAAATTTGCCATCCAACTGATTGATACAGCCTAACGCAGCACATTTTACCATCCTTCCAAAACAGAATTGAATAATGCCATGTAAAGATCAAGTATGAAATTTAAATTTTGTAAGATCTCCTTTAACGCCTATGAATGTGACGTGACAGCAATGTCATGTCAGGGACGCCAATACACGAAACCAAAGTCACTAGATGATTAAAAGATAAAGGAGCTATGATCTGTCCGTGCCCAAATATTTGTACTGACACTTGACATGTCCGATAACATAACTGCTCTGGGGATTAAATAAACTTGAACTTGAACTGCAACAGAACTTGAAGAGCTCCTACGAAGACCTTCTGAACTCGACCAAAATTTTGGAGAGACGCCTCGGGGAAGTGGATTTCACTTTGTCCAAGTACAAAGACGAAATAATCGATTTGCAAAATGCCAAAGAGAAGTTGCAGCACAACGAAGCAAACCTCAATAAGCTCTTGGAAATCGAGAAGCTGCAGACGAAAAGCTTCAAGTTGCAGCATGAAAGGGACGCCAAATGCATCCAGGTATGATGGCCTATTAGCGCTACAATTCTTTTATTTTTTTTACGCACCTACACACTTTCCTTCCTTAATTCTTTTCGAATTTTCATGTGATTACTTTGTTTATCTACGGCTATAACACAAAATTGCTCTTGTTTTACTTTGTTCGATTCATCAATGACTCCATTGCCCATGGAGTGTCAAATTTCAAGAAATGACATTTCTTTCTTATAGATGGGCATTGCTTGACAAGAAATCAGATCGCTACAAGACGAAGAAATCGAAAATGCCGCTGTTATCTGTTACAGCCGTAGAGAAATTATAGTGTACAACTCGCACAGAATGCTAATTGCAAACTTCATTCTCGTGGTAAATCACAATCATTCCCTGCTCGTTAAACAACATACTATTCTTTGCACTAGTGTTCAATAAATTTATAGGTATACAGTGTGTCCCACTTACCATGCTCACCATGGGTATCTTTTTAACGGTGAGAGATACGAGGTCGGTTAAATGACACCAAATGTGGAGTTTGTCAAGGCCAACTATAATGTGAAGAAATATTTCAATAAAATCTATTCGTTTTTGTTTTATACGCAAAAAACAGATTTTGATCATTTCCATGTCTCCTCCATAACTCGTTTATTTATGAAAATATTTAAATAGGAATTTCACATTCTTATGGCCGTTTTTCAAAGTGATTTCGAAAAAAAAATGAAATTTATACAAACTCTTCTAGAATTTGAGATATCAGCACCAACTTTAGTTTTTCGAATGTAGGTCATAGCTCACTATGACTTAGTTACAAATAACTTTTTTTTCTCTTACAGATGATGTGTCGCAGTAATAGTTTTGTGTTGATAACAACGGAGTTATCGTCATTTATACAAAAACAAAAAATTATTTGGAAGCCGCCATCTTGAATTTATAAATTTTAACGAAAAACTCATGATCTCCGACCTCAAAAACCCCCACTTGCCAATTTTGAATGGAATCGGACCAAATCTTGTCCGCCATCTTGGAGCAGCCATTTTTTTAAATTTCTGTCTGTAATCAAATGTTGCAAGTGAATTTTACTCACTTCTGGCCGTCCTATCAACTTGAAATTTGGCAGATGTTCGTAAAT